TTCATATATTTTCTTTATATGGGTATGTTGTAAGCAGATAATATCTGCCTTTTGTTTTGTTAATAAGTTGAAAATTTTAGATTGCTGCTTGGTCTAATTTCTCTTCTTCCTCACCTGGTCCTTCTGTTAGCTCTTCTGTAAGTTTTCTTACTTGTTCAATTGTGGTTATAGCTCATCTTCCCTTTGGTACATACACTTCCAGTGCAAATGGAATCTTCCACCAGCATTTTATTTATTTCTTTAGTAAAATATGTCTTAAAAAGTCAAAATCTTTCCTTTGTTTCAGAAGAGTAGAGGGAAGGTCTTGAAAAATTTGTATTTCTTTCTTGTGAATCTTGAGAGGTTAGGTTTTTTGTTTATTCAAGATAAGATCTCTTGTTTTTTTATACATGAATTTCACCAAAATATCATGTGGAAGTTTATTCCTGACCACAAATCTAGAATGAATTCTATATATTTGTTCAATATGCATAAAATCTTCTTTAAACTCAAAATGGTCTTGTAACAGCTTACCAAAGTCTTCTTCAAGATCCACTTTGCCAAAATCCTCTGGAACTGAGTGAAATTTAATATTACAGCCTCTATTTTCAACCTCTAGGGTTCCAATCCTTTGGTTAACTTTCTACAATAAATACTCTTGAGATTCTAGATGGTGTTCCAGCTCTTTGTATTGTCTCTGAATATGAACAATTTTGTCAGTATTTTCTTGAATTTTTTTTTGAGTTGGTGTCAGTCCAATTATTTTTTGTCTTGCCTTTTTGATATGATCAAAAGTGTTCTCTTGGCCTAATTTTTTTTGTGTTTTGTTGCTGAATCCCTTCTTCTATTTGGGTTATTTTATGGTGCATTTGATCCTCTGATTGTTGCATCTGAGTGGAAATTGTATCTTTTACTGAGTTCATTTGTGTGGCCAGATCACCACAATAAAACAATTTATATTAGACTTAGACATACAACTCTGGATTATAATATAAAGCACAATGTCAAAATGGAACTATGTTACAATATTCAACCACAGGAGGCTTACGAAGGCTTATGTTTCAGATATTCAATGTACTCTAATTTATGTTAAAAGAAGGAATAATGAGATTAGCAGATTTAAGATTTAGGATATGTAGGCCCCAGTCACACAGGCAGGAAAATGCGGGAGTGGGGAAGCGTGGCTGGTTGCCCTGGAGCAAAATAACGCATGGCTGTGCGATGAGACATCCCATCGAGGTCCTGTTGAGGTCCCGTGGTTAAAGGGGAGGTGCCAATCACAGGACAATCCTGCGGCGCAGCAAAGAAGTGGCTTCCCTAGCAAAAGGCTCCAGGTTTAACCCCTTCCAGGGCTGCAGAGGAATGCAACGTGTCCTCCGTCCGGTCCCCTCCAGGAGGAGCTTCAGCCGGGCCGCCCTCCCACCACGCCCCCCCTGCACCTCCCCCTCTACCGCCCGGTGCAGAGAGTTCCTCTCGAGCAGGCCGAGCCAGGAGTGGGGGGGTACGGAAAAAAGGAGGGGGCTGTGTTGTTTGTTTTAAATGAAGTGTGCGCATGCGCTGTTGGGTGCTTGTGCACATCCTGTGGAGACTTGAAAAAAAACACCTTTTAGCGATGGGACATGGGCAGGCGCCGGATGCCACGACCTACCACTGGAAACGCGATCAGGCGCCCACCCTTGCCCGTGGTTTCCAGAAACTAGTACCTTGGAGGTACTAGTTTTTTACCCTGCATCTTTGGCAGGAAGCCTCGGGTTCGCCACGGAAGCTCTACACTTCCCAGATGTGGTGCTGTGATCACGCCCGGAAAATCCATCTATCTTCCGTCTCTGTAGTGTGGCTACTGCTCCATGTGACCGCAGCCATAGTTAGGTAAGAGGTGGAAATTAAATCAGTCTGTTAATGAAATTAGTGTTTCTTAGTTGCTTGCTTATTCACAAGTGTATCACATAAGACAGATCAAATTAGTTATTTGTTATTAATGTTAAAGAGAGTGAGTTCTTATGTTGAGTTTACTTCTTCTTGTATCTTTTACTGAGCTGGGCTTTCAGTCTTTTCTTAACATCTTCACAGAACATCACAACTTCACTTGGCTTCAGTCCAAAAATCCAGTACTAACTGAGCAAGAGCAGGATCCATAGTAATTACAAATTCCACTGTAAATAGTTGTAAATTCCACTGGATGGCAGCAAAGACCATTGCATAAATTAACTTTTGTTTTATTTTGCTTTTAAAAAATCGAATATTCCATTTATGAAAATAGTCTTGAAAAAAGCTTTCCAAGGTTTCTGCCCCATTACTCTCCCCAGCAAAAATGTAAATACAGCAAAGATAATATGAAATTAAAAGAGAATAAATTATAATCCAATTTTTGTCCAATAATTAAATATAATTTAAAAGGCACAGCTCACACCACAGTCTCTAATGTCTCAGAGGAAGAAAGCATTTTCTTTCCTCAAGGAGGAATAGTGGTAATAAATTAGATTGTAGAATTTTTCCAATTAGTTGCTTGGGCAATTAGCTTGAATCTGTTATAATCCCAGTGAAAATGAAAATAAAACAGGTTGCCGTGATTTATGTAGAGTTCTTTTAAACCAAGATAAGTCCTTATATCTAGGAGTAAGTAGAACAAAATAAATTGTCCAGAAATCCAAATGACAAAAGGATCAAAAGATTGGGGGAGGAGAAGAAATAAAAAGAAAAAAAGCAGAACACAATAATGGCAGGCCCTTCTAGTTGGCACAGGCACACAACACAGCCACCGTCACTCACTTTTCCAGCTGAAATCCGATCTTCTCAAAATCACTCTGATTTAGATCACTTGTGAACAACCTCTGGTGAGGAGTGAAACAGATCTTATCTCTCACTATTGCTTCCAAGTGCCCCTAGGGAGTTAAGGTCTCAGAGCCTAATGAGAAGGCTCACTAACAAAGGGCCATGTTGCTCCAGTCCAATCTCTTGTCCTTCTTGAAGTTCTCTGGCCACCTGATTACCTCTTTATCAAACTTCATGAAACTAGGGTTGCCATCCCCCCCAGTGGAGTCAGAGGATCCCCCGATTTTGGGGGCCCCAATCCGCTGCTAGCCAGCTGGCCGGCAGGGAAAGCTCCACCACAGAACAGCAGTGTTTCATGAGGATGCCACTGACACAATGACATCACCAGTAGTGACATCATTATGCTGGGGCCATCACAGAGCGATGCTCTAGCTTTTGGGGGGAACTCTATGGTTACCATAGAGTTTTTGCTCCAAACACTAGAGTGTTGCTGTGTGACACCCCTAGTGTGATAACGTTACTACTGGTGACATCGTAATGATGCACGCTCTTTGTGCATGGGGCAGAAAAATCCTGATGAGTTCCTGGGAGTCCCCTGGCACAGGTAAGAAGAGACCTGGCAACCCTACATGCAACCAATATTCAAAATTATTTGAAATACTTAAATTTTAGACCACATTATATATTACATGATATCAGCAACTACAGCAGCTAAAGGCAGACATACATCATTGGGGCTGAAGTTGGACTAGCTGTGTTGGACACGTCTTTAAGAAAAAACCCTGTAAAACGTAATGAAATGCATGACAATTAATAGGACCAACTTAAACATGGTTCTCTGTCTTGAAGCTATCCTATTTCCATTCTGAGTTGAAATGAAACAGTCCAAAAATTAAAACAGGATTTTCCAAGTACATTCCATAATATGACTATATACCATCTATGTAAAATTACAGTGCTAGGAATGGTTAGCCTGTCTGCTGATCTGTGGCTAACAATATCCCTGGCGTCTTTATGACAAATGGTTTGGCAAACTCAATCCCATTTCCCACAATTAAACAACACTGATAACTGACTCCACTTAACTGGATGATTCCATTTGATTCCAGTCATTTAATACTCTAATTAACCCATTCATGCTTGTTTCATGTGAAAGTGAGTTAGTTGAGAGTAGTTCAGGTGAGGTAGTTGAGAGTCAGACAATAATAACACTGAAGGCTTTTATTAACATAACTGCTTGTGCCTTCTCAGTTCTGCCTGCTAGTTTCACCTCTCTCTCCTGCTGCCCCTTCTGCTGAGTCATTTCCTGTAGCTGTTCCCTCACTCTCTCTCTTCCCCTGTGTCACAATAAATAATCATGGTTTGGCTGTTGCTTCCTGAAGTTATTGTTTCTTGGAAAGAGGGGCACAGTCAAAGGAGATAATCCTTTGGTCGTCCTCTGTGTAATTAATTGAAATACTGAGGTTCTTTGCTTTAGCAGATGAATATCGTGTCCTCCCTGCCAACTCATCCAGAGCACTTCTGATGAGAGTGCAAGGAAAGCCATTGATATATCAAGGTATGTCCATTAGGTTCATAATATTGTAGAGAGAAAAGATTTTAAGCTTATCATATCTGGCTCCCTTTGCCAAGATTCTCTGTATCCCAAACGATGAGCTACAAAGGGCTTTACAATCTGCCAACCAATATCTTCTGGTCGTTCCCATCCCCAGGGATGTCCTTCTTACCTCGACTAGGGCCAGGGCCTTCTCAGCCCTGGCCTCTACCTGGTGGAATGAGCTCCCATATGAGATCAGGGCCCTGCAGGACCTTTTACAGTTCCCCAGGGCCTGCATGGCAGAGCTCTTCCGCCAGGCTTTTTGTTAGGGCAGTGGATGTACCCCCTCTCTACTAGGTCTCCCCTCAGTGGGTCAGATCTGCATCACCATCTAAGGACCTAAACTTGAAATAGATTGCATCTATGAGGTTTTTAATTATGATTTGTACCAGAGGAATGTTGTATTCTATTGGGGTTTGTTTTTAATTCTTTGTATATTGTACATTGGTTATTATGTTTGATGGAACCTGCCCTGAGCTTGCTATGCGAGGAGGGTGGGATATAAATCCAATAATAAATAAATAAATAAAATGAGAAACTATTTTATTCATAATGTATAATTTGTTACATTCTTCTCCCCTTTAGTAGTCCTCCACCTGACATTTCCTATTATATTTTTTTAATCATCAATGTCCATTTTCTTTTGCTTTAGGAATCTCAAGGACCTCCAGCGGAAGACTCCGAAGACTTGGTAACCCAACAAGCCCAAGTAAGCTACATTAATAGATATAGTTCTCTGTGATCCTTTGCGCTTAGATATAAAGTCTATAGAGAGACCATGGGCTGTGACCTGCAAACAGACTTAACAATCCCCTAGGAGCTAAAGAAATGCAGCAAAGTTCTTGTTGACCATCATGGGAGCAACATGGCCCTCCAGATGTTGCAAGAATAATTAGCAAACATTTTACATCAGTACCAGAAGTTCTAATGTTGAAGAGTATGTTAGATATATTACAATAGAAACAATTTATGTGTCTTGTATGTGTCTGGCTGACAATTATGTGGCTGTTTACAGGTTGCAAGTGCTTATGCTATAAAATTACACTCCTAATTGTATCCTGATATCGCTGAAGCTGTTTCTCATTCAGCTAGAATGGAGGTGGGAGGGTTTTGCTTTGTAGAACAGGTGTTCCCCAGACTCATTATCACACTGTCTGTCATCAACATTTGTAGGCTTTCAGCTTTGAAGCAAGTTTATTTTGTGAAATCATATGTTTTCCAGCAGTTGGTTGGCTAAAAAAAAATCTGCAAAGTCTATCTAAGGTTGCCAGGTCTGAGTTGGAAAATACCTGGAGATTTGAGGGGTGGATCCAGGAGAGGGTGGTGTTTGGTTAGGGGAGGGGCCTCAGCATGGTGCAATGCCATAGAGTCCACCTTTCAAAGCAGCCATTTTCTCCAGGGGAACTGATCTCTGTCAGCTTGAGATCAGTTGTAAAAGTAGATCCCCAGGCCCCACCTGGAGGCTGGCAATCCTAAGTCTATCCTAGGTTGCTCTGACTAATTAGTGCTAAAGAACAATATATTGAAACCCTGCCAGGAGATTAGATGTGTTTCTTAAACTGAGATGTATGGTCATGTAACTGATTTATGACCCGTTACATCAGTCATGTCAGTTGAAGTGTATAAGTTCTTTGTCACGTGACTTAGGTTCACTGGGGTTAGCTAGGTTCAGAAGGGCACATCATACTCTTCACTTTCTCCTGGACATTGTTGGAAGGAAAGAGCTGAATTCCCCACTGCTTCTGTTTCTGAGACATTCTTGCTGTTTCTATGTGTGGTAAGTGTCTTCTACATGGGTAGGTGTATCTATCCGACATTTCACCTGGGCCTGTATATATTTAAGAACAACTCTGTAGTCCTCGTGGTTGTAATGAGAAATTTGCAAATGCATGAAGTAGCATTTAAGAAACTGAGGAAATAAAGAATTCGTGCAAGATTTTCAGTTGCACAGGGCAGGATATCTGCAAATCAGCCTGCCTTTTTAATTTTCCCCTCAATCCCTACCATCCATTCCAATACTCTTGTACCTCACAGGGTGTGTATTGTGGGTAGGGGAGGGGAGGGGAAAGGAGTTTGTAAGCTGCTCTGAGATGCCGTGTGAAGGGCACAGTATAAATCCAATCTCTTCTTTTTCTTCTATTCCAAAAAGGTGGATGTAAGGCAAATTTCCCTCTAAGGTGCATGATCATAAATTTGCCCACTGATTTTTACACCGCTGCACAGAGATTTTTTTTCTCAGTACAAGGGTTCCTTTTTCTCTAGTGGTGACCCCACCCTCCCACTCAGGTGGCGCCTGTGGGCCCTAAAAGGGGGGCACTGGTGCCCAGCAGCCCTACTTCCACCATGTGGCCATTGTCCAGCTGCCTTGCCCCACCGCTGGCTCAGCTCCTGGCCTCATCGTGGGAGGCCCAGGAATCAATCAAGATGAGGGTGAGGGGTGGGGTTATGGCTGCCTGCAAGACTGCTCCAGGTGAGGTCAGACTCAGCAAGAGAGGTGCTCATCTCTGAGACCCTACCATGTCAGTATGTGTGTCTGAGCTTGGATGCCTGGCTGCCCTGGATTGTATGGATGTATTGTGGGGTTGTAGGGCAACTGTGGCATAATGGAGAGGGCCCTGGCCCTGGCTCTGCTCCCTTTCCACCCCCTCCTTGCCATGGCCTCCACCCACAGCCCCTCTCCTGTCTTGGGTATGTATTTGTAATATGTAGGAAGCTTAGTGGCCAGTTATCTGTGTAACTGCTAAGATGCCTATGTATAATTCTTTTGCCTTGTAAAATAACAAGAATGTGCAACTCCATTATATGCAGCAATCTCATGATTGACAGTTTCTAACTTCTCTACATTTAACAGAACTGATTTTTTAATTTCTGGTTTTTTAAGCCTGTCAGATACCCAGACTTCACCAGTGAATACATAATCACTCATCTGTATAGCTTCTTTTAAGTTTTAGATATTTGTTGTGCAAGGTTTTGGATGTACAGGGCCTGTTTATTGCTGTTCTCAAATGACCTCAGTTTTGTGGCACAAGCCTTTCATCAGCTTGCATTATCGCTTTGTAGACTAAATGATCTAAAGTATTTTTACAGGGTAGCAACCTGGTTCTTACAAAGTGAAAACAACTCTCCCTCAGTCTTGGAATGTATTGTACTTCTAGCCAATGCATTGAATGTTCTATTCAAGCCTTTTTATAATTGAATAGTTTTCTATTATTTTTTAGCTACAACGCTGTCTTAAACATTTTGACAATTCTCATATAGGTCTTTCTGATCATTTCAAAACTTTATTTGATTACTCTCCTGAATCCGTAAATGTTTTTAGATTGCTTTTTTAGCTGTAATGCCACAGAAGACAAATGTCAAGCAGTAATGAAGGTACAAGTGTTGAACCAATGGGCATTTGTAGAGTGTATGTGATGCTGAGAGATACTGCCTCAGTGCATAAGATAGTCTGGGCCATGGAGACTTGCAGTCAAACAGTTTATCCTGGGCTTTCAGCCAAGAAACTTAGGCTATGTGGCATGTTGTTGAGTCTCAGCAAGACTCTGACTAATTTACACAATAGTCAAATGTAGGCTCACTCACAACAAAATGTACGCTCGCTCATGAAGTAGAACTTTTGCTCACAAGATTCAACAGCTTAGAGGGAACATTGGCATGAAACTGGGTTTGGGAGTCCTTGAGTTTGGGGGTGTTAAATACTGGGTTCCATGGATGGTCTGACCCCAAGCCTAGTGATCAGCTCTCTGGTAGATCAGTCTCTGGTAGAAACAGTCCTGGAATGTTCCAGTCCCAATACATAACAGGGGGTCTTTCCACTGGGACTGAAGGAGGCAGTGTTTGTCCTGCTCTTAAAAAAGACCAACTTTAGATCCTATAAATCTAGTCAATTACTGCCCAGTCTCAAATCTTCTGTTTCTGGGTAAGGTAATTGAGAGATCAGTAGCAGAACAGCTCCAGAAATTCCTGGATGACACATCAGTGTTGGATCCATTTCAATCTGGCTTCTGCCCCGGCCACAGGATGGAGACAGTCCTGGTGGCCCTCAATGACTATCTCCTCAGGCAGCTGGATCGAGGTGGATTAGAATTGCTGAAATTACTTGGCCTTACAGTGGTGTTCAACACAGTTGATTATGATCTACTGACCCACCACCTCGCCGACACTGGAGTCTGCAGGGTAGCCTTGCAATGATTTACCTCATTCCTCCATGGTCTGGGACAAAGGGTGGCACTGGGAGGGAAAGTGTCCCCGAGATACCCACTGGTATATGGGGTCCCTCAGGGGGCACTTCTCTCCCCAATGTTGTTTAACATCTATATGTGCCCCCTCGCCCAGCTGGCCTCTATCAGTGTGCCTCCAGAAGAGTGCTATACTCAGGAAGTAAGAACCTCCTGGTGGTTCCCTGGTCCAAGAAAGATCCAGCTGTCCTCAACCAGGGCCAGGGCTTTTTTGGCCCTGGCCCCTGCCTGGTAGAACTCTCTGACAGAGAACATCTGTGCCCTGTGGGATTTGTTACCTTTCCACAGGGCGTGTAAGGCAAATATGTTCTACCAGGCATTTGGTTGAGGACAGCAACAGGACAACACATAGTGTTGAATATGAGACTCGAGGCAGCAGGTGAACAGTGATAACAGCTTTCTTCAACAAGTTAGAAGAAATCAGAACAAGACAAACAACAGAGCAACAGGCTCCTTTTTAAACAGTCCGGGCTTGGCAAGCCATGCCCCCATGTCAGATAACATCCAATCAGATATTTTAAATAAAGACCAATCAGTTTGCTTCCCTCCAGAACTTCTCTGGTTCTAATAGGTTGGTTTTCAATACCTTACATCAGACTCAAGCTCTATATACATTCATTCCATTCCATACATAACAATCCTTCCCCCTAAGATGAGACAGCCCTTGAGCAGACGTAGTCCTTTAAGTATGCTGGACGCTGCTTAACCTGTTGGGGTTGTCTTACCATTTCTGTTTGTGGGGGTGGAGGAGGAGCTTTGGGCTCCCTGTTAGTGGGTTCACCCTGATTCCTAATGGGACTGAGTGTCCGTGGCCTGTTTCCATAGTCGTGGCTCTGCTCACCCTTGACTATGCCTGGGGATTCCATTGCTTGGAAGTCCTCAGCCTGTTCGGAGTTCGGAGACTCTACTTGACTGTCCGTGTCAGTTACCTCGGCCACCTGGGGAAAGGAATCAGGGTCTGAATCAGCCCACTGTTTGCGCAATTGGTCAACATGGCACTTCATTACACGACCATCAGCAATTCGCACTGAGTAATGGCGAGACCCCAAAACATGAGTCACAGTGGCAGGTAACCATTTGTGCCCACTTCCATAGTTCCGTGCATTCACAGCTTCTCCCTTGACAAAAACCCATGGCTGGTCCGGGGACTCACTGTGTGGCGGCCGGGTTGTTGTTAAGTCAGGGTGCATGCGATCCAGCAGTGTAGTCAAGCACCAACCCATAAGCATTTCTGCTGGGCTCCACCCCGTCACTGAGTGCGGCGTGACGTCCTGGTGCAGGAGGAACGATGCCACCTTTTGGCTCCAGTTCCCCTGCACCAGGCGGCTGAGGGCTTCCTTTGTGGTCTGCACCATTCTTTCGGCCTGCCCGTTAGTTGCCGGGTGGAATGGTGCAGACGTGCTGTCCTGTATCAAGTTTGCCGCCAAGAAGTCCTGGAACTCCGAGGCGGTAAAACAGGTTCCGTTATCGG